TCACTATGTGTCACTATGAAGTATTCTCTTAAATCTTCGGAGTGTTTAAGAATGATATTGTGCTGAAACTGTTCTAGTGATGGCTGTAGACAGCAAGAACCTGCTAGACATTCATGGATTGTACAATGTGTTTCAGGAGTTTGGGATGCCACCTGTTCCATATGCCCAGATCTTCACAATATGGATCTGTTCTAACAGTCTTGGTAAGAGGGTCAAATTGTCATTACTCCACATGCTGTGCTTTAAAAGTTTAGTGGTGATGCATGTACAGTCCGTTTGACTTCGTTTGAGACTGATGAATTGCTCACTAACAGGTTTTGCGAGTTGCATTATGAAGTTGAAAATTCACTGCACACGCTTGTTTGTTACCTGGCTGTTCTACCAGCAAGTAGTCCTCCTCTCGAAGAAATAGCGAAAAGTGACAACAAAATAATGATCGTTTGTTAAACAACTTTTTTATTCGGGTGTCCAAAATTATGAGACAAATCATCAGAGTTGGTCTGTCGATTTCATGTGACTGTGCAAAGATTTTGTTGCATGTATTAGATTTTGTGTTCGTGAGCAATTCATCGGTCTCAAATGAAGTCAAACGGACTATAGTTTTAGTGAGTTTGTTAAATGAGGCCATTAAGTTAGGCCAACAGCCTGACAGTGAAGCAGTGTGTAGAGCTGATGTTGTGTATGTTGTTGTCATTTTGGCAGGTGAGAATCATTGCGATGAGATGCAAGAGTTCTTTGTGGGAACACTTGTGAATTCTTATTTGACTAGAGTCTATTTCAGTGTATATCTGAATTACTGTCGACTACAGAGACTCCTTTAGTGTAACAGACAGACATTTATTCTTCACTCTGTATGCCATGATATATGTGTGGGTTAACATGGTTTGTTGCAGCCAACTTATGTATTTAACCTCGTATACTCCTTGTCACCTGTGAAGATCCGGCTTAGAATTGATCTTCAGTAACCCATGCTTGTCGTGAAGAGGCTTGACTAACGGGATCGAGATTGGTCAGGCTCACTGACTTGGTTGACACATGTTATGGGTTCCCAGTGGAGTAGATCAATGCTCATGCTGTTGATCACTGGATTGTCTGGTCGAGACTCGATTATTTACAGATGGCTGCCATATAGCTGGAATATTGCTGTGTGCGGCGTAAAACTAAACTCACTCATATACTCCTTGTCATGTCTCTGGTTAAAATGCCAAGGCAGTAGAGGTTCATGTGACCTGAAGCACATCCTAAAAGCCCAAACTAGGGGTCCTCTGTTATCCCAAGTATCATTTGTTTGTCATAAGGACTACTAACTGCACTGGGTAGTCAGGTTTGGTGAATTGGTCAGTTGCTTATCTTGCTTTTCGTTGTTCCTACAGAGTTGGTCCAAAGTGACACCATTGTCTTGGACATTTGCTGGTCATTCTTAGAAGACAGCTTGGGATGTTGTTCATGATATCAGTCACTGATTTCTCTGGTCCTGATGTGATTATGTACAGACCACTTTGTTTTTCTTATCCTGACTCATGTTTATTTGCTTGTCTTCTTCTTCTGGCGAACCTAGTGGAACACTTGTATCTCCCAATTGAAGCTCCCTTCAATAAAAATCACTCATTAGTACTCACCCGAGTTATCTCCCTTTCGTGGCGGGAAGGAGGAGCCACCAAGCCCATGTGCCTCCTCTCTCCTTCTTAGCCCAGTGAGCTGGGCGTGAGAGCACCTGTGTCTCCCAACACATATATCCTTTATTTAAATCTAGTTTAGTTCCTCTTATACGTTAGTATAGAGGTAGTGCTAGTATATTTATTCAATTTGCATTGATTATTAATTGTGTTTCTGCTGTTTATTCAGCTTTGCGTGATTGTTCAGTAGGCTACATTAATGAAAATTTGCACAGATTGTAAACTCACGTTACTCTGATACCGATCCTCATTTAAAATGCCCTAGTTGCATTACTCCATGTTCCTTTGATTCTCGTTGTAAATTGTGTAGCAATTTACCTATCTCTACCTTTGACAAATATTTATGTTCCGTTTACAGGCGGAAGGCAGATAAATCTCGTAAACAGATTTCAAACATGGCTAATAGATCGCAAATTAATGTTTCATGTCAACTGTTGACTGAGGACTTCGTCACCGGCTGGTGGCATGCCTGAGTTTCCCTCGGAGGATAAGCGTGGGGCGCTTGTCCGCTATGTCAAGCGACCTGCATCTCAAGAGCTGCCGTCGTCTCAGTCAAGTCGAGGAAACCAGCCATATCATCTCGTACTCTCGTACTCCAAGATCTACACCGTCATCTAAAGGGAAGTCAACTAAATCTAATAAATTTGCCTCTGATATCTTACCAGTTACAGAATTAGCATTATATGATGATGATATGCCTATTATCATTCAGAAGTTCGTCACAAGAAGCGGCCCGTTTCTGCGACTATCACCTCAAGCGCCAGAGCGAACACACAACCCGGAGATGCCGCGCTATCACCAATACATTTATCTGAGGGTCCGTCACCTCTGCAGAGAGACATCCCTCATCAGCATAGAGCGTCCCAGATGACTTGATCAACCACATTATGAGAATGATGGAAGACGCTCACGGCTTACAGAGGCCTCAGAACCCACGGGCCCCAGAGCCCACCCCATACTAAGTCATACAGGGCCCCAGAGCCGCCTTGACCGGCGTAGGAACCCCTGAGCCCATAGGCAGCGCCTCAGCGAGAACAACCCTGCCGGGTGAGCTCTTTGCATAAGGTATCCCAGGCGCCTCGAGGAAGGAGCTAGAGTCTGACCCTTTGCAAGAGGCCCAGCGGAGAAGGAGTGCTTAGCCTATGCGCACCTTGTCATGTCTGAAGAAGGCGTTAGCAAAGCAAGCACTCATATGTCGGGCGGACACTGACTCCAGACATTAGCGCCAAGGGCGAAGGCTAAGTGGTTCTCTAGCGCCTACAAGGCGTTGGCGCAGCCCTCAGCGTTCGAGAAGCCCAGGCGTCGGTGAAGCCATCACCGTTAGCGTAGCCCACAGTCTCCTTGAAGGATGTCTTCTCAAGATCTGCATACACTAGCCCTTTCGTCAGTCCGTTCTCCTCAGTCCTCACATAGATCTTCTTACAGATCGAGGTCTCCGACATCACGACCATCGTCAGAGGAAGGCGATGGTATCATTTTCTCAGAGGCTGAGATAAGGTATTGGATGGTAAATGAATTACAACTGGCCTCTCCCTCCAAGAGCGAGGATACAGCCCAAACTTACCTGATGAAAGATGATGGCGTAGATCATATCACCATACCTCCTGTGGATCCTATCGCAGCCGTTCCTGCTAAACTGGATACAACTTTCTCCAAATCTACTAAATCCCATCTTCCTCACTTACCGATCTTCAATGCCAAGCATTTTTATGGACATAATATGGAGCCTTTTTCAAGACTCAGGAGATTGATGAAAACTTCAAGATTATCAGTGATTCCAAGTCCAGAAGTTATAGGATTGGCGATGCCAAGATGGCCCAGGTTAGATACCATTGCCAGAAGAATGTTCTTAGGACTTAATAGATCTAGGACTATTAGCGAAACTCTCATCACCAAGTTCAAGAACTCTACGGATGAGGAGGACAGGATGATCTATTCAGCTCTACTTATGCAGAAGAAAGATCAACAATTCCTTACAGACCATCTTTCAGCTCTTACTGAAACTACTACCATGCGCGTCGGCAAGGATTACTAGCCTCATGCTCTTGGAATAATCAATTCACAGAGCCCCTGTACACAGCTCCATGGTCTTCACCTTTACTGTTTGGTGGCAACATTAACAAGGTCTCCAAGGAAGTATCTAAAGATTCTAGAGAAGTACTCATGATTAGATCTATGGATCGTTAGCAATCTTCAAACATTCAGCACAGAGGTACTTTCGGGTAAGGCTAAATTCTCAGGGCTACAGAGAGCGCGGGATAAGAAATTAGCGACGCTAATAATCCCAAGGATTCTTTTAAATTAAGCCCCTACAACAAGTTCAGAGGAGGATCAGCTAGAGGCAGATCATCCAGAGGTGCCGATGGATTTAAGCGATGAAAGTCAGGTTCGGAGCGACTGGAGTCTTCCACCCCAGTCGTCCCAGTACAACCGTCTCAAGTGGGTGGGCGACTACAACTTCACTGGGAAAACTGGGGAATACTTCAAGACCATTATGTATCCAACATCCGCCCGATCGGATATAGTCTACAACTCAAGGCCAAGCCACCGTTAACAGTCAACCCACCAGGGTTCAGCGTTCATCTGGCATTACTACCGATGTTAAGAGAAACAGTACAGTCTCTACTAAACAAACAGGCCTTAGAAGTTCTCGATCAGCAAAACATCATACCAGGTTTCTACTCCCCAGTCTTCCTAGTGCGAAAAGAATTCCAAAGAGAAGTATCGTCTCATTTTACAACATGAGCACATTCAACAGAGAATTTCTATGCAAACCACCAGCGTTTAGCATGATACATTTACCTCAACCGTCATCTAATTCGTCCACTAGATTACATGGTAAGTATAGATCTGCAGGGATGCATACCTACACATTCGATTCATCCCAGTTCAAGGAAATATCTGAGATTCATGCTAGGCGGCATACACTACCAATGGAAAGTACTTCCCTTCAGAATCACTTGGCCCCATGGATATTCACAAGAATAACCAAGCCTATGGTCTCATATCTACATCGTCAAGGCCTGCGGGTGCATTTTACCTAGGCGGCGGCATACAGGTGGATCCACATCCACAGCGTCTCAGACTACAGCTGGAATTTACAATCAAGCTACTAGCTAGCAGTTAGGCTGGTTAGTAAATCTACTCAAGTCGGACCTAGAGCCCGCGCCAAGATCTGCAGTTTCTAGGTATCACGATTCCTTACAGCTCAGAACCGTATGATAGTCGGAGGACAGATGGATCAAGATACAACAACTGATCCCCAAGCCCTACTCTCTCCGTTACCACTCGACAGTGGCAGAGTCTACTGGGACTACTCACATCGGCTCAAGACTTGACACTCAGAGGCAGGCTCAATTCGTCCATTACAAGTCCTCATCAATGCCCATCTCGAGGACTCTCTACCGTTCAGTCTACCAGATTACGTCAAACCACATCTACTCTGGTGGACCAAGAGATTGAATGTCTGCGCGATGGCGTCTCCTTACTAGAGCGGAATCGGAAACACATCTTTCGTGGATCGTCACTAAAGGTTGGGGAGCCCACCTTTCCGGCAGGACAGCGTCAGGCCTATGGAGCATTCAAGAGAGCTTATGTCACATAAATCTGCTAGAGATGCAAGCAGCCATAAGCGCCATAGATCACTGGAGCAACCTATTACAGAGCGGCTCAGTTAATGATTCATACAGACAACTCCACAGTGGCGTTCTATGTGAACAAACAAGGGTCAACAAGATCACTGAATCTACTCACTTTCGATGTTTCAAACTGTTCGATCTAGTCGACAGTCTAAACATCACGATATCAAAGCCTGCCACATTCCAGGAGCAAAGAATGTGTTAGCAGGCGGCTCTCTCGGCCACACCAACCATCGCCCGACAGAATGGATGCTCCACACAGAGATATTCAATCAGATAATCATGGAAATAGGATCTCCTCTGATAGATCTATTTGCCACCCGATTCAACAATCAACTGACAACCGCCATTATCGCCAGTGCCAGACCCACTAGCATGGGCAGCGGGCGCACTAAGCATATCGTGGGAGGGACTAAGCAGCGTGCGGCTTTCCGCCTCCTGCGTTGATCCCACAAGTCTTGCTAAAAATCAGTCAAGCGAAGAGCCTCGATCTCATTTTGGTCTGCGCCTTACTGGCCAGCGAGCGTGGTTTCCAGACCTCATCACGAAGAATCGGGAAAACCAGTACTTCAGCTCCCACTGCGCTCCAATCTACTGATACATCCGCACACCAAACAAGTGCACAAAACACCAGAAGCATTCCGACTTCGCGTGTGGATTGTATCAAAGGCGTGTTTGAATAAGAGAGGTTATTCCAACAGAATGGCGGTCGGTCAGCTTGCACTCGTAACTCCACTTTCGTAATTTATCACGATGATAAATGGCTCAGATTTGTCAATTATGCGGCTAAGAAAGGATTTTCAGCCAGATTTGCTACACATCCTCAAGTGGCAGATTTCTTATGTTTCCCTCGTCAAACTAAGAATCTCAAAGGATCTACACTGTCCACTTATCTTGCAGCCATAAGCTCAGTCATTACTATGAGAGCGGCGTCAAACTGACCAAAACACGGAGTTACTTCGCCTTGCTCGTGCCTTCGATTGGAAGATCAGAAGCGGAAGTTTCAAAGCGCCAGCCTGGGATCTAAATGTGATACTTCAACACCTCACAAGTGAGGCTTACGAACCGTTGTTATCTGCGTCATATGAATCATTGACCCACAAAACCTTATTCCTGCTAGCGTTAGCCACTGCGCCAGAATGTAGCCGGAAATTCAGCTTTGGACTATGAGAGAACGCGATTTGATGATATTCATAACATGGCTCATCTGGGACTTAAGCTGGGATTTTATAGCGAAAAATCAACTACCAGGTCAACCAGACAGGTTGTTCCATGTCCCAGCTCTCTCATCCATACTTGGGCGCGGGATCACGATGGACTTATCACTTTGCCCTGTCGTGCACTGAAAATATATCTCCAAAGATCCAAGCAAAGTAGAGGGAAATTCAAAGATTGTTTATCCCTATATCTACCGCTTCACAGACAGAAGTGTCGGCACTACCATTTCTATTTGGATCAGAACTGTCATACTAAGAGCCTACAAGGCAGCTGGACTGAACCCTCAAGTGCTGCTAATCCCCACGAAATTAGAGCACTAGCCTCAACTTTGGCTTTACATGGAAATTGTTCTTTGAATACCATTATGGAGGGATGTTTTTGGAGGTCCGAGATGGTGTTTGCAAACCATTATCTGAGAGATATCACCACCAAGGGCGTCTCAGGTATCCACCATTTCGGTCCCGTGGTCCTCGCTCAACAGTTGACAGTTCCGCGGAGAAGATAAGTCTATCTTGCTGATTTTATACTTATCTGATAACAGTACTAATAGCTTTATGCTATCTATATATATATTTGCTTAAGTTAACATATTATCTTAAGCTCAGTACTATGATTCTATATCATAATATATATATACTTACAACTCTTACGAGTTCTACTATTATATATATGTTCAGCTTAAGTTATTCCTTAAGCTCTATCATATGTTCATTTCATAACATGTATTAGTTAACAAACTCTCAGTAGTTGGTTACTATTATACAGCAAGTTATCATTATACCTTAGGCACAGTTATGTTATAGCTTATATATATGCATATTGTAAGCTTACTACTTTGGTTCTTATAAAAGTATTCATTATAAACTATCAACAGTTTATACTACCACATTAATGGCTTTAGCTTAATTAATGTTCTATATACTTTATTATATTCAGTAAATTGTAATAACCTATTTAAAGGCAGCTGTTAATTTAACAGCAGGAATTCAGTTCAGTGCCTTCATGAAGTTCCCTTAGGGTTATTACAATCATCTCAGTTCAAATCACTAATTAGTAAAATCCAAAGTATATATAATCCCACCTCCTATTCCGTAGGATTCTACAAACAAATAAACATGAGTCAGGATAAGAAAAATATGAAATTTTTAGAGTAAAATTAATATTTTTATGCTTATCCTGACTCATGAATAACTCCCTCCGTCCTCCCCACTTAACACTTTGGATTTCTCAGGGGAAAATAAAGTGTTGGGCTCAAACAAAAAAGGAGAGAGTGAGGCACATGGGCTTGGGTGAAGCCCTCCTTCCAGCTTCTGAGGAAGGGAGATAACTTCGGGGTGAGTACTAATGAGTGATTTTTTATTGAAGGGAGCTTCAATTGGGAGATACAAGTGTTCCACTAGGTTAAGCCAGAAGAAGAAGACAAGCAAATAAACATGAGTCAGGATAAGTATAAAAATATTAATTTTACTCTAAAAATTTGCTCATATGACGATGTGCATGCGTGTGTATGTATATGTGCAGCTGCTTGTACTAGCCCAGACGTAAGCTGGTTTTATAGTGCTAGCTCACTGAGATACCATGCCGCAGTGAAGCATGAATACCCCACTCAGACACAGTATACTGACTTTGAGCCGACCAGTCCTTGTTGTACCCATTAATGCCGAGAGCCAGACAGGGACCAACAAGAACCATATTTTAAAGTCTTTTGGTATGACGCTTTCGGGGATCGAACCTGCGACCTTCCGCTCTCCGGGCGGACGCTCTAACCACTACACCACGGAGGCGGTCAGATGGTGATGATCAGGACTGCTTGATGCTTGTCATCTGTCATTATCAGTTGGACAAACTATGACCAAATTAAGACTTTCCATAAATTTCAATAATCTAACATTACCCTTTTTCATTTTTGATGGGCCAAGTCAACAAACTCGCTGCATTTCACTGTGCAGAATTGCTTCCCTTACGTTACCAGAAACCTATAGTCTGGGTTTGAATCCCATTTAAACTGATTATGCTACTAAGTTTGTCAGCACCATACCTGTGCTTGTAGATTTCAGATCTGAATCACTTTGGTTTTTCCTTCCAACATCAACCGGGGCGGTGGGCTAGCCTAGTGGTTAAAGCATTGGCTCGTCACGCCGAAGGCCCGGGTTCGAATTCCCACATGGGTACAATGTGTGAAGCCCATTTCTGGTGTCCCCCGCCGTGATGTTGCTGGAATATTGCTAAAAGCGGCGTCAAACCAAACTCAGTCAGTCAGTCCAACATCAACTTGATAATGCAACATGGAATGAAGTATCCTGAAGCGACTGTCTGATGTTGCAGCCATAATTCTCTGTGTCTTGTTGACAGGTATTATACCTGTGACTGTTTCCTATTACAGCAGCAAGAAGCTGCAGGAGCTGGTGCCTCAGCCTATCCTGGGCCAGAGGGCAACCACACACTGGGCCAGCAAGATCCTTCGAGAAATCATCCAGATCAAAGACAGGAGTCCTCTGGTAAGTCACACACAAGTCCTGTGAGATCATATGTATCCTCTGGTAAGCCTCTCCCAAGAGAGCTGTGATATCAACCATGTATCCTCTGGTAGGTCACACTCAGGAGTGCTGTGATATCAGTTATGTATCCTGTGGTAAGCCACTACCAGGAGTGATGTGATATCAGCCATGTATCCTGTGGTAAGTCACTACCAGGAGAGCTGTGATATCAACTATATATCCTGTGGTAAGCCACTACCAGGAGTGCTGTGATATCAACTATATATCCTGTGGTATGTCCCATACAGGAGAGCTGTGATATTAGCCATGTATCCTGTGGTAAGTCACTACCAGGAGAGCTGGAGAGCTGTGGTAAGTCACTACCAGGAGAGCTGTGATATCAACCATGTATCCTGTGGTAAGTCACTACCAGGAGAGCTGTGATATCCACCATGTATCCTGTGGTAAGCCACTACCAGGAGAGCTGTGATATCAACCATGTATCCTGTGGTAAGTCACTACCAGGAGAGCTGTGATATCAGCCATGTATACTTTGGTAAGTCACTACCAGGAGAGCTGTGATGTCAGCCATGTATACTGTGGTAAGTCACTACCAGGAGTGCTGTAATATCAATGTATATGTAAGCCACTACCAGTGCTGTAATATCAATTATGTATCCAGTGGTAAGTCACTACCAGGAGTGCTGTGATATCAGCCATGTATCCTGTGGTGCGTCACACTCAGATGTGCTGTGATATCAGTTAAGAGTGCCTTGATATCGACAATGTATCCTGTGGTAAGCCTCAGCCTCCCAGGATGTGCTGTGGTGGCCTTGATATCAGCCATGTATCCTGTGGATATCAGCCATGTTACCTGTGGTAAGTCACGCTGTGGTAAGTCACCACTCAGATGTGCTGTGATATCAGGAGAGCTGTGATAGTTAAGAGGTGCCTTGATATCAGCAATGTATCCTGTGGTAAGCCCCTACCCCGATATCAGGTGGTGGTGGGATATCAGCCATGTTACCTGTGGTAAGCCCCTCCCAGGAGTGGTGGTGATATCATGCCATGCAATGTATCCTGTGGTAAGCCCTCCCAGGAGTGGTGTGTATCCTGGATATCACACACCAGATGTGCTGTGATATACCTGTGGTAAGCCCCTCCCTGGTGGGATATCAGCAATGTTACCTGTGGTCAGCCATGTTACCTGTGGTAAGCCACTCCCAGGAGTGGTGTGATATCAGCCATGTAACCTGTGGTAAGCCACTCCCAGGAGTGCTGTGATATCAGCCATGTAACCTAGTATGTCTCACACATTAAGGTCACTAATCTGTCGATGTGAAATGCACATTTTAATTGGTGTGTCAACTGCATGACTTTATTCTTAATTTCTTTGCAGGCACTGAAACGTCAGTTTTTGACTCACTGTCATTACCTCACTGTCTATGGCTCAGCTTTTTTCACTGGAACTTTACAGAACCCCCAAAGCAGCAGGGTAAGATAGCATTCTTATCAGAAATAGATTCAAAATATCATGATTTGACTGTTGAGAAACATTACCATTACAAGAACAAAGAAATACAGTGCTTGGAATACTCTGGTAACCCATGAAGATATTGGTTAGGATTCATCTTCAGTAACCCATGCTTGTCGTAAGAGGCGACTAAACTCACTCACTCACTGGAATACACTGGTGAAGTAGTGAATTTAGTATTTCGCTAAACTGTGGTAATTGAACATGTACTGCGCTAATGTTACAGGTCAAGATATCAAATGAGTTTGAAAATTGGTGATGTAAGTTCATTTTTTTACAGGTCCTCGATTCATATTGTACTTTGTGCATAACATCTACAGTAGAGATTTTATTTTCAGAAACTGCTGAAGTTACTTGAATTAACCTTTACAGATGTACCCTAACTCAGAAACGCTTATCAAGATTGAGTTTGGTGCCTAATCTTTTTCCAGGGTTATGTCCCTTGCTACATGTTTTTCGATTGTCTTCAATGGGTAGAACCTGTGAAGGTCCGGGTTAGAATAGGTCTTCAGTAACCCATGCTTGTCGTAAGAGGCGACTAACGGGATCGGGTGGTCAGGCTCGCTGGCTTGGTTGACACATGTCATCGGTTCCCAATTGCGGAGATCCATGCTCATGCTGTTGATGACTGGATTGTCTGGTCCAGACTCGATTATTTACAGACCGCCACCATATAGCTGGAATATTGCTGAGTGTGGCGTAAAACTAAACTCACTCACTCACTCAATGGGTAGAAGTGCACTGAAAAGGATAGCATACATTTAAGAGATACTTGTCAACAATGAACTAAACATTTGGTGTTATATGAACAAGCAAAATTGAAATGGATACCTTGGCAGGGAAAGTATGCTTGTTTGCTTCATTTTAGGAAAAATTTTCTACCTGGTTGTCAGAATTTTAATGTTTGTGGTCAAACAGAAACTGGTTCTGTTGTTGAGACTTGTACAGTTGCTCTCTTTTCCCCCAGGGTTCAACGACGAAATGTCACATAGGAGTGAATGATGTCGGGATACATATCATCAGCACACAGACCAAGGTGATGATTGCAGTTGAAAACAATGTCTTGATTCAAACAGTTACTTATACCTATTTACTTATCAATAAACCTGGTAATATCTAGGTCTTGGTCTTCTGCAGCCCATGCTTGTTGTAAGCAGCTAATGGGACTGGGTGGAGATTCCTGAAAGAACGCTGTCCTATATAGTGTCTTGTACTTGAGAGAACTTTCTAGTATGAGAGAATGAAATTTTTAAACTTATCCTATCTCATGATTTGCACTTCTCTCTCTTGCTCGGACACTGAGTGGAACGAATGAGAACTTTTCCTGTAGGCCTCTCTTGTCCATACGCCCGTGTTCCCCAGGCTGCTCTCTTTATAGGACAGGTCTCTAGTCCACGGCTAAGCGTGCAGCACGTTCCCCTGTCTACCCACGTGACTACCTCAGAGTGATCATTCTTCTTGTTGTTGTACCACTGTGTGGACGTATTGTGAGAGTTCTCAGCTCTTCTTACAAGTTAACATGAGAAATATATCATGGGTAGTTGACCCTAAGTAGCGTAATTTTGTGCACACTGTTAGAATATTTTCTTCCTCGGATCCCAACTCTTCATGTGTGGGTTGTATTGACCTGTGTTCCTGGAGCAAACGTTGTCGGGAATGTGCTCCCTTATCAAGGACGTTTTTAGAGCATGTAGACATGCTTGCTCCCGTTGGCTGGCAGACAGAGCTCGTTACACTTCAACAGTTGATCACCCAACAGAACCCCCTGCTTTCAGCGACCAGTATTAACTGCTCGTCATCCTGAGATGTCGGAAGGTGATGATCTTATTGGCGCATCATCAGATGTCTACTCATCGTTCCGCCTCATCAAACCGCTCTGTGTTGCCAGCTGACTCACACAGCCGATCTACATCGTCAAATCGCCCGAACCGATTCACCACACCGAATCGGTTCGCCACACCGAATGGATTCACCAGACCGAACCGTTTCGCCACGATGTATTGGATTACGACATCGACTCAATTCAGCCATATATAAGACTGTTTCTTATCGCCGAAACGGTTCACATCATCGATTCGATTCACAGCACTGAAATGGTTCGCCTCGCTGTAACGTCTCTCTTCACCTAAACGATTCACCTCGTTGAACCAATTCACCTCGGCCGGAACATTTCACCTCGCTTCACCGGTCATCTGATCGTTCTAGATCTCTCCATCAGCTGAGATCATTTAAACGTTTCGGATTACCGAACTGATCCAGATCACAGTCACGATCCAGATCACAACGCCGATCCAGATCACGGACTGATTCAGATCACATCCACGTTCCGGCCCACCACCCTGAACCGATTTACCAGCCCGACTCTTACCGTTTCACCAGGCTGAACCGATTCCTATCGCCGAACCAGTTCACTTGGCCGTCCCGATCAAGATCACTGAATTGTCAGCATTCATCGAACTGTCTGCATTCGTCAATAATCCATTCCTTGGACCTTGCCAGCAATTGAGCTGATTCACGAATTGGGCGATTGACCACTCGTGTTATTTCCAACACGGCGCATCTTACCAGCCTATCAGAGCCTAAGCAAATTGTGTCTGGGATGCCTCCCAAGACACTTAACCCATATCGAACCTCGTCTTTGTTTTCATGGTTTGGGCTATGCCAGTCGCCTATAAGATGCAGGAATTGTTTTATTTGATTCGACACACATGATCGCATGGTTCGCCGACCACCTACAGCTACCTAGAGCAAGATACTAGATGTTCTATTGATTACATTCAACATGAAGGATAGGGACAATGTCTAGACCTTCAAAATATTATTGGCGATAATAATATCCCACAGAAGGAAACATTTGAGTATTAGATCCATCATCCAATCTCTTGGGCCTCTTCCAGTAGCGTGGTAGACGTGGAGGATCAGTTTTGTCTTCAGCTTCATCAACAACAGACTTGTAGAACTCTGAAAAAGTCTCTGTACTCCTCAGCTTATCATAATACGCCAGTACTTGCTCTGCTCCCTTTTGTGCATCCTTTGCCGTTGTTTCTATGCTTTGAATGGAGGGAGACAATTGCTCTGATGCAGCAAAAATTTGGGAAGAAACTTTCAGCCCAAAAAACACACTAAACTGGTCAAACTGTTAAAGTAAACTGCCTGCAATCCTGGCATACTCATCGTGACCCTTGTTGATCTCTTCAAATGGTTTTCGAAGAGTACCAAGGTTCTCCAAAACAGAGTTGATAGATCCTGTTCTAACTGTCCAACGTGTTGGACACAGAGGTCGTAAGCCACGAGTTCTTTCAGTTTAAGGTACATCCATGTCAAGACTCTTCTCAATGGATGGAGCTTTTTGAAGCTTGATAACAAGCTACCTGCATTGTCCAGGCGTGACATTTGAGAACTATATCGACGACTGTGTTCAAGCCCAGCAGGATCCACTCTTCCTTCATCTCCACAGGCAGTTCATCATCAAGATGCTCGTGCATTTAGGGTGGCTGGTGAATTCAGAGAAATCGGAGGTAACACCGACCTTATGATTACTTTTTATTGGGACACGACAGGTCATGATGTTTGTGCCACAGTAGAGGTGGGACAAGATTCAGTCCAACGTACCAGTAGTGATGGTCTAACACACAACTTTTCGCCAGTGGCAGAAGTTACTAGAGTGGTTGACGTCGGCACAAGCGCTGACTTACAGGGGCCAGCTGCACCTTCGCCCTCTTCGGATGTTTCTATGCCCATACATCCCGGACGACAAACCAGGGAGTTGATTCATCTTCCCGTACAACTACATTCAGTCTTTCGTTGGTGGCTGAACGAGTGGAATGTTTGCGGTGGAGTCTCTATGGTGCTTCTCTCAGGGGCTGGGGCGCTCACTTTCTCCATCAAGTGGCCTAGAAGTGGTCATCAGGAGAAAGGGCCCTTCATATCAACGAATTGGAATTCAGCACTGTCATTCTCGCCGTTCGGTATTGGGTAGTTGAACTACGGTCCTCTCATATACTGATTCAAGCAGATAATTCGATGGTAGTTTGGTACATAAACCATCAGGGGTCGACAGGATCAGCAGCTTTGCTTCAGTTGATGTTTCGAATTTATCATCTGATCGATTCACTAAACATAGTGGCCAGAGCCCGACACATTCCCGGGATGAGGAATGTCATTGCCGATGCCCTGTCACGTCCCAAACACCTGTCACCCGGGGAGTGTAAAATACTGCCCCTGATGTTCCAATCGATGATCTACCTGTTATCACGACCAGATGTAGACCTGTTAGCCACTTGGTACAACCATCAGCTTCAGTTCGCGATCGTTTCTGTTTTGTGTACAATTGTTTCTGATTATTTTTTTCTGATTTGTGTCTTCGATTCTTCCGGGACATAGATTGCTCCTCTCAATTTAATTTGAGACTCTAGAGAGTTGCCACCTCACTTACTGTCGTCTGCTCTATGGAGTAATTATGTCAGTGAAGTGAGTCATTCCCGAAGTGTTACACTTCGTAGCGTTCATGCTCCTAAGTACCTATACACATCTATGTGATCTTACTGTGGGCAGTAGGGAAGTCATAAGATGATGTTGTGCTGAACGTTAAAATTGTGAGTTTTTCGATTCAATTACCCTTTCACCCTCCACGGGACGGTGTCTGTGGGAGTTGTTTCGAAGCAGGGGCGGGCCCGATACTAGTCGTTAGACTTTTATTATGGGGGTACTTTGGAAATCGTGGTAATGTGACTGATTACACTCGCTAAGCTGCGTCCTTTCACATTCGTGAAGGTAGTGACTGAACACCACATTGCTCGGGAATCCCGGTCCCTGGGAGCACTTGTGCTTAGTAAGTCAATGGGTTCAAACTATCCATCGCATGTAGTGGCCTTGGTAGTTATTACCTTGTCGCTGCTTCTTACGTATGTAGAAGTGTTCGACAATCTCACTTGCTGACCTCTATTGCATGGAGCAATCACGTCAGTGTAGTGAGTCCTTCCCGATTTCCTTATGGATTTCGTAGCGTTCTAGCTCCTAAGTACCTTAGCACACCGTTGTGACCTAACTGTGGTAAGTAGTGGAAGCCATGTGGTGTTGTTTTGGTACAGAATGTTAAACTTGTGAGCTTTTCCGATTCAGTTTCTTTTTCCCCTCTTCGTGATGGTGTCTGGGGGGCAGTCTCGAAGCAGGTACGGGCCTGATTACTAGTTGTAATAACGGGGGTACTCTGAAAAATCATGGCGAGGCAAGGTGACATGGCTAGTTATGTTTTCTTGCATATGTAAGGGTTGCGGCCGAACACGACATTGCTCGGGAGCACCCACTCCTTGGGAGCAATGATGCCTAGTACGCCAAGAGGTTCAGGAGAGCAATGATGCCTGAACAGCACAGTCAGGAGCACCCACTCAAGGGGTTCAGGATAATCCATCACTACATCACTAGTATAGGTACTATGCTAGTCGGACCCTGCGGCCGAACACCACATTGCTCAGGAGCACTCACTCCTTGGGAGCGATAATGCCTAGTAAGCCAAGGGTTTCAGGAGAACCCATCACTAGTATAGCTACTATGCTAGTTGGATCCTGGGGCCGAACGCCACATTGCTCAGGAGCACCCACTCCTTGGGAGCGATAATGCCTAGTAAGCCAAGGGGTTCAGGAGAACCCATCACTAAGTAGATGTACCATGCTAGTTGGATCCTGTGGCTACCACTTGTTCATTGCTATTTACACGGTTGTCATTAGCCTATACAGTATATACTGTCAGTGCCTTTTGATGCCTAGTAAGCCAGGGGTTCAGGAGAACCCATTTAGATGTACCATGCTAGTCAGATCCGCCTCCCTTGTTCATTGGATAAGTGCAAATCATGAGATAGGATAAGTTTAAGAATTTGGAAATTTTAATATAAATTGTACATATATATACTTATCCTATCTCTCACGATGGATGCCCTAGAAGCCTCCCCTCTACTCAGATCACGACGGTTATGTATAACTGTCATTGGCTCCAAGAAGAGAATGATCACTCTGAGGTAGTCACGTGGGTAGACATGTTACAGTATAGGAGGTACGAATGCTACGAGGAAAGTTACGAGATCTTAGGCTTGCGAGAGCTTTGTGAAACGGGGCCCTGTCCTATAAAGAGAGCAGCCTGGAAAACACGGGCGTATGGATAAGAGAGGCCTACAGGAAAAGTTCTCATTCGTTCCACTCACCGTCGAAGCAAGAGAGAGAAGTTCAAATCGTGAGATAGGATAAGACTATATATATGCAATTTATATTAAAGTTTCCAATTTTCTTGAAAGTCACCAATATTGTGTGTCACTTAATTGTTGCTTGTTCTCATCAGTGATGACAGTTTAACTTGCCCAAGAGGTTTCAAAAGGATTTTCAACTTGGTTGCCATGACAGCCATCGTATGCCTAGAGATTGAGCTGCAGTGAAAATTTTCTTCGAATCAGGAATGTTTTCGATAATTGTTACTCGAAATTTATACACCTCTTCTACGTGACTGTTACAAGAATGTACAAACTGATAAGTAAAAATTTGGCCTAAGTAGAGCTTCAAATGATTATTGTCCCCCACCACAACACGGAACGGGGGACTATGTATTCAGCGGCGTCCATACGTATGTCCCAGTCGACACCAGTCGATTTGGGTGACCTTGACCTTATTTTCAAGGTCACCACGACACTTTGACCACTTTTCAAACTCTTGTTAGCGCGATATCTCATGAACTGTTGTACCCAATGTCTTCAAATTTGGTGACAGCCTACATTGGGGGATTACCCAGACACCAGTCGATTGGGGTGACCTTGACCTTATTGGGGTGACCTTGACCTTATCTTCAAGGTCACCACAATACTTTGAACACTTTTCAAACTGTTGTTAACGTGATATCTCATGCACTGTTGTATCCAATATCTTCAAATTTGGTGACAGCCTTCATTGGGGGATTACACAGACACCAGTTGATTTGAGTGACCTTGACCTTATCTTCAAGGTCACCATGACACTTTGATCACTTTTCAAACTCTTGTTAACGCGACATCTCATGGACTGTTGTACCCAATGTCTTCAAATTTGGTGACAGCCTACATTGGGGGATTATGCAGACACCAGTTGATTTGGGTAACCTTGACCTTATCTCCAAGGTCACCACAACACTTTGAACACTTTTCAAACTTATTTAAATGCGATCTCATAAAACATTGCACCCAATGTTTTCAATTATGTCGACAGCCTACATTGGGTGATTATGCAGACACCAGTCATTTCAGGCATCTTGTATGTGACCCAAAAAATATAAAGTAGTAAATCTAGATATTCCATTCTTTAGCGGCGGGGGACATTGCCATATCAGTGGCAAACACTTGTTTTCATAATGATCAGAACATTGTGAGGTTCACTCAACATTCACTGAAGTATCTATACAGAAAACTTTTCAATATCAACACTGACAGAAAGTTTTGTTAAGCAGGACATTTTAAATTGTTGAAGTGAGCTACAGTGCATGGAACTATTGTTTGGGTGCATGAAATGATCAATGTGTTTAATCCTGCTCTTTCTTTCTCTCTAGTCAATGCTCCAGTCGTACAAGTACTCCGAGATAGAATGGAAGCATGTCCAGGAGTATTCTCTGCTGGAGATCCACGTTACAAGGCCAGAAGGGAAAACTGGTCGAATCTCACCCAAAACTGTCACCAAAATCCGCTCCAAACAAGCTGGTCTCATCAACTTTCTCATGGTCAAACTGGCCCAAATGCACGACTGAAGGACAAGATGGTGCCTGTCAACAATTGTGATATAACAGACAAACAGATAATGTGGAAGTGCTAGTGTTCCTTTTTGTCTTTCAGCTGATAGGATGAGAGTAATTTCAAAATGTCAGCAGTTAATGTCAAATGTACAGCCTAACATTTAAAAGTAATTTGTAATATCAACAAAGTGATTATATTTTTGTAAAAAGCAAATCAAATTCTTTGAAAAGAGTTCTCAGACTGACATGAAATCAACAGGATTGAAATAATCTGGTCACAAATCTGGATAACGGCATCATGGATGTGTTTGTATGTGTGTCTCCACACATCCTCAAACCATGACTGTTAACATCCTTCCCCCTGGAACATATAAATGAAAGTGATTCACTTATGGTATTGAATGTTACCTGAATGCTAAGATTTTACCATCCTTGTCAAAATGTCTTGTTCAAAGAAAAGAATACCTCCTTGGCTTCTCTTTTGCCCTACAGATTGAGCTTTTTACAAGGCAAGCTGTTTCTGATGCCATATTACTATAGCTTTGCAGTGAGACTTTAGCTTAGTCTTATCCCACGACTGGATGTGAAGTGATCAGTAGACTTTCCTGTGCTGAGGATTGTCCTGAAAAATTAGCATTGAACTTGATGATCAGATTGGGAAACTAAGTCAGAGATGTGATTGACACAGCTCTCTTTTGTGTGAAATCTGACCAATGAAATCAAGACAACCACAGCAGCGACTGATAGAGCTCACAATGTGATATGTGAAAACTGAACAAATTTCAAGTATTTCTCCACAGATTCACTAGTGATGGGAAAAGATCAAGATATTTTGCAACAGAAAAAGGAGAATGTTTTCAATATTGCTCATCTGACAGTGTATAGTTCAGCATTTGTGATACATAGCTGGTTGTGTGACTTCAATATGACTCTTGGGGTCAAGGTGACATGTCAGGTCATTGTGACCTTATTTACCAATTGTTATGCTTACTTGAAAGTTACCCCCACCTCAGTGCTGAAGCTCATTGCTTATTGTATACCTCATTCACACACTGTTGCCTCAATATTTACTGATGTGGTACGTTTGGTTATCTACACCCTGACAGGGTCAGTGCCCTGCAAGGCATTAACACAGTCGCAACATACAGCTGGGAGAAGATTCAGCTCATCCTTCACAATGGTATTTGCAGGATAGGTTCAAACTGTACCAGCACACAGAGAAAAGCCGGTTCTGGACCTTGATGAATAAGAAAGAGTCAGATCCACATTTGAGTCACATGGTCCATGATGGATGATGCACTCTCCATTCTGTCAACTGTGTTTCATGAACGTATCTGCAGGCTCCGTACCTTGAACATGTACTCTCGGGATGTCAAAATATGGCATCACCCTGATACGACACTTGCGATACTTTGTTCATGATGGAGTACATCTAATATTTAATTTGCAGCGCTACTGCAAGAATTACTTTATTTCATAGGGCATAAACTGTTTGAAAAGGCTTCAAACTTCCTGTATATTTTGGTTCATATTTTAAAATAGTCGAGACTGTAACAGCATTTAAGTCTTAATAGTATGTACATTGTACGATGTAGATCTTGCACACATTTATAATGATAGAATTGTTATTACAATGTAGGTAGGACCCATTTTGCCAACAAAGTCATTCCATTGCTTCTTTTAATGCTGTGTGAGAAACATAAAATAAAATATTACAGGATGACAATGTGAATTAATTCAGGTAAGTGTGTATCACATATCTTACCATCTGAGAATAAATGATACAATGATATACTGGTCAATTTAACATCCCAAATGGACACTGGGTACACCTTTGGGAGCACCCATGGCACTTGTTTCACAGTTGTGTCCCTTGAACACATCTGTTTACCAGTAGATAATGTCTGTGCATCACAATGCTCAAACTTCTGACCCATGCTTCAACATTATGCAAATTTAAAATGCTGCTTTTCATCTTGACTAACCTTAAGTTGACCTTGACCTTGACCTTGGTATGCAACCACTTGGAACACAGATCTGATAGGCTGTACATTGACTAGCTTTTTCTGATAACATAATAGTGCAAGATCTTGGTTCAAGGTGTTATTTATTCGAGGAGGCTATTTGATTGTTAGCTGTTTGTTGTTTTAGTGTGAAGGACCTACTAGCTGAAACACTTTAAGCCTGATGTACCACATATCATTGTACATTTTGAAAATACCCCGTATTTGAAGCATATATACAACTGCCGGAAAAATAGAATTGCATTGACTTTTCTATCTTTTCTTTCAGATTACATTTATTTTACTTAGTAATTAATCTGTTAATTTCCATTTCAACAATCTCCTAACAGCTTGTTTCTCCACTTGCACTCACCAAAAATATGTTTACCTCAGGCAAATTCGCTTGTAAGTGATATTTCTGGGAATGTAAATTTCCTTCTAAAACTGAAAAGACAAATAATGTCAGAATGTAATTCTTTATTGATCTCCAATGTGGCTTAAGATCAAATCTACCTTGGAACTATGCTATGAGGAAATCCCTTTGTTATGGGTCACATCAGAATTACATTTCATCTGTCCAATAAGAGAGTCGCTTAGCAGATCTGGAAAATGACAGTCATGGTCTGTATGACCTATTCATTACAAACGTTTTTTGTCTCTCACTTCAGTGTGGAAAACATTTCAAACAGAAGAAACTCTCCACAAACCATGACTAATACTGCCACATAACCACGGACATCTATTAGACGTTCCAGATTGTTTGGGGCGGTGGGGTAGCCTAGTGGTTAAAGCGTTGGCTCGTCACGCCGAAGACCCGGGTTCGAATCCCCACATGGGTACAATGTGTGAAGCCCATTTCTGGTGTCCCCCGCCGTGATGTTGCTGGAATATTGCTAAAAGTAGCGTAAAACCAAACTCAGTCAGTCAGTCAGTCCAGATTGTTTAGAATCAGTTTTCAGGTTTTGATTTGCAAACTTTGGCAAAAGATATTTCTATAAAGTCCAAGAAAGCTGCTTTCTTAGATGCTAGGGTTGACTTCATTTCATTGGTTCATGAAAGGTGATTCTGAAGTGACCCATAAAGGAATGACCTCAAATCTCTGTTAGCTGTAGCGAGCACCACAGAAACAGAACCAAGGATGGAGATATTAGCCGATATTACATATAACTCATGCTACCAAACATGGCCCAACCTCTGAAGCTAGAACATTGCTGATGGCAGCTTTATCTCACTCACTTAATCTTGTCACATGTTGCTCAAGCAACTAATGATTTTGAAATAGCTTACCAATTTCTTATTTTCCGACAATTTTAGTAACTTTTGTGTTGACCTGATTTGACCATTCATTCAAGTTTATATGATGGTGTATTGTCTGACAAACCGCAATTGTAAAACTTTCCAAAAATGTCTCCAAAACCACATGGCCTACAATGCTGAAACTTCTCACAGATGATTCATCAAGTCTGTATCAAAACCCTGACCACATGATTTTGTTTTTTCACAAGGCCACCATATTAAATTTGTCATTTTTTGCTTATATCATTTGCAATACTGTGAACATGTTGAATATGTGGAAGAACGTAAGTTTTGGCCTCAGTGTGCGAAATAGTTTCCAAATTTGGCTAGGCCTGAAAGTTACTGGCCTACAAACTAATTCACTAGCCCGAAATTTGAATGTATAAACCAGTGGCTATTTCGCACAATGTTTGGTCTGTTTTCAATTTGCCCTTGATACAACTGCTTTGGCTGTTCTGTTGTTCGGAAATGTCTGTTATTCATGTGCCCATGTTCTTGTTTACCATTTTTGTAATGAACTTGAAACCCTATTTGTAAATATTCCAGACAGGTTCAGGCAAGCTTCAGGGCCCTGTGGCTCTATTGTTAAGACAGTTGTGTAGAATCTGTCAGGTTTGCTCAAAGAATTAACCTGATGTTTTAAAAAACTAATAGTTTGATGCAAATGTATTTTCACCATATGGTGAAATATTTCGTCAATTTTAGAACTAGTCTAGCAGATGTTAATTACCAAACCTTAGTCAGCTTATTTGCTTTTGTCCGTCAGTTTAAAGCAGAATAACATTCCATCAGTACATCTCTATCGCCATATTACAGATGTTTCAGGGAAAAATGTTCAAAGATGTATTTCAGTACCACGTGGTATAGGTCTCTGAACATGCTGCATGAAGTGTACAAGAAAATACACAAACAGATTTGTTTTTGACGTTGACATTTTCAGGACAACATAGCTTTTCCATATTCTCAGCCAACTAAATTGGTCCAATTGTAAATTTAGCCCAGGTTTGGCTGTTGAGCTGTGGATTTCTGATGTTATTCCCACAACTAAGGTAAGTACTGATTAAGGATCAGTCTAAATAATACATAGGTCCAATTTTCAGTTTCCTTTTCTACAGAAAATGCATATGAAAAAAACTAATAGGGTTTCTGGGTTATAATAGGTCCATAAAAACCTATTCTTTTTAGATGGGGAAACAGGGCCCTGTTTCACAAAGCTATCTTAGCGTAACTTTCTGTTAACACGTTGACTGCCTGTCATGAGTATACTCGTAGTATCAATTCTGGCCGAATTTGCCACTACAAGTTATCTTGTATTGGCAAAATGGTATTTTGAAACAAGTTTCTCATTTTGGCAAAATAGACACAAGAAACAAACGTCTCCTGGCGTTCTTTGTTACCGCCAGGAGACGATTGCTTCTTGTGCCTATTTTGCCAACATGTGAAACCTGTTTCAAAATATCATTGATGCAGCTATGAGATAACTCGTAGTGGCAAATTCGTCCAGACATTGATACTACGAGTATTTTCGGGTGGCAGTCATCGTGTTAAAGTATAGGAGATACGATACTCGTAGCACTATGATTGCTTTGTGAAACACGGCCCAGACTGGTGGTCAGACTATGTAACTAGGTTGTTTGTGTGTCATTATACCCTATGGATTCTTGACCATTTATCAATCACAGGTTTGTCTGGTCAAGATATGATTATATTCAGGTCACTATCATATAGAGGGAATGTTGGTGAATATAGTGTTATACAACGAGCCAACAAACAAGCCCATGAGAAGTATTGGTATGGCAGGTGTAGGGTTAATTTGTTTCAAGTTATTGGTGGCATTGCTTGACCCCAAACTCAGCTTTTTCCTGGGCTGCTTTTAAAGTTGTAAAGCATGTGATGTTTTAGCCTGGTTTTGCTGAGATTTGTATTGTGTATGATAAAGTGAAATTTTCTGCTGTACATATTCAAATATATAATATTTGTTCTGTGAGGCATATTATTCAAAGAAAATGATTGGCTGGAAATTCAGTCTGGATGAGAAAGAGGCTGTGAATGTTATGTCAGATATCTTGTGTGGTCGATTGTATTTGTCCTGAGTGTGTTTCGTGTGAAGCACTGAAGAGTCCCGAGGGCCTTCCTAAACTATCCTAGGTATTATATCTCCACTCTATAATGCTAGCTAGTTCACCACCATATCCTTGTTTCTGTGAAAATTCCATGACTCTTACCACTAACTTACCCGTGAAGATCTGGGTTAAAATTGGTCTTCAGTAACCCATGCTTGTCGTAAGGTGACTAACGGGATCGGGTTGCTGACTTGGTTGACACAATCATTGTGTCCCAATTGTGCAGACTGATGCTCATGCTGTTGTATCACTGGATTGTATGGTCCAGACTCGTATTTACAGATCGTGGCCATAAAGCTGGAGTGCAGTGTTAAACAACACACCAACCAACTAACCAACCAAACAACCAACCAACCAACTTACCACTAACTAAGCACAGAATTCACTCTATGTCGTGAGCTTGGGAGCATCAGCCAATGAAAATGACTCGTCTGAATGAGAATGTAGTCAGGGACTCCAGTAGGAGTATAGAGGAATATATATTTTATAAAAGACGACTCTTACTTTTAGTTAAAAAAAGGTGTCTTTCTCGTTGTAGCTCATTCGTTCAGGCACTCCCAGATGTATTTGAAATGGTATGCAACAAGGCAACGCCTGCAACTGGTAATATTGCATCAATAATGAAAGAACGGTGAAATTTGATTGGATGGCTACTAGGAGCTATGGTGGTGAATGTGTTTATGGTATTATAGAATGGAGAATACTACACTTGGTCTTGAAAGATGCTTTAGTCACAGGTGTCCATGTCATACACCATCTTGTTACATGATTGTTGCCTTTAGAGTAACTAATCCTAGATTAATGGTGCAATTTAGACATTATGCAATGGGTCATCATGCAATATGGTTTGAATTACTATGGAATATTGTCGAGGCTTGAAGTGCTCTATACATCGTTTCAGATTTGAAAGGTTTATTATCTAAGGGATGTGGCTTCTTCTAATAAACATGCCCACAGGAAATACCAAGCACAATGCAAGATCAAGAAAGAGGTACCAACTTATCTCACACAAAATCGGTTTTGATTGAGAAATCACATGTTTCATGAACCAACACAACTTGTCTTGTCTATATTTACCTGATATTGTGTGTATACCTCATCAAAGGCAACAATCAAAGCTTTTGTTGAGCTGTTTGAGATATTTCAGCTTTTCTAACTGGTTTACAAAATGGAGTGGTTTCATAGAGACTGAAATTTTGAAAAAACAACTTTTTCTGAAGCCATGGGAGTAAGTAAGCAGACTGTTATGACATCTGAATAATTCTATATATCTTAACGTATGTTCTTGATCTCTTGTTTGTTTGAACCCAAGATACTGTCCAGATAACTATCAAGGGTCTGTTAGCCCTCTACTGGTACTGGGGCGTGGGGTAGTCTAGTGGTTAAAGCGTTGGCTCGTCATGCCGAAGACCTGGGTTCGAATCCCCACATGGGTACAATGAGTGAAGCCCATTTCTGGTGTCCCCCGCCGTGTTGTTGCTGGAATATTGCTAAAAGTAGAGTAAAACCAAACTCAGTCAGTCAGTCAGTCTACTGGTACTGGTGGGTTTTGTCAAAGTGGTGTAGGTCTAAGATCTATCTCACATAACATCTCCTACAGATACCTTAAGTCTGAGTGCTGTCACAGGAAAATCATTCATGAACTCGATATCTCAAACTGTTGTGGTGAAGGTGTTTTGCTTTTTATCTTAAAAAGGTCTTGTTTGTCATGTCAAGAATGTCAGAATGGTGGTGGGGTAGTCCTAGAATGTGGCTGGCAGTGGGGTAGCCTAGTGGCTAAAGCGTTTGCTCGTCATGCCAAAAATGGTTCGATTCCCCACATGGGTACAATGTGTGAAGACCATGACTGGTATCCCTGCCATGATATTGCTAGAATATTGCTAAAAGCAACGTAAAACTAAACTCACTCAAGAATGTAGATTGTTTTCTGTTTCACTACACATACTTTTGTTCCTAAGCTTTTTATAAGATAGTAGAAACTAGCACTAGAATCGAGATTTGGTTTGCAGTCCAGTCTTTAGCGTTTGTCTCATTTGATGACATTTTACACTGAGCTCCCTTGCCACTCCCATTACACCACAACACCTTGGAATTCCTTCCCACATCACACTGAAAGGCTGTGTTAAACCAACTCATGGACTACATGAAGATGTTCATGATGTTCAAATGGCTTTAGATCTTTTAATTTTGCTGTGAAATTTAAGGCTGTACCTATTCTGAGTTAAAATGGATATATCTCTGTTGTTTATGTTGTATATGGTGTACCCATTCATATTTTCATATTAAGTCCAAATTCTGATAAATATTGGTAAGAATAGCCATAAGATCAAAATTATTCTTGTGAGCAAAAACATTCTGTGTACTAGGAGAAATGGAATAATAAATAATATACTGAAAAATACTTTAGAAACAAAAGTAGTGAATGGTCCAGGGGTATTAA